GACTATTTCTTGTATCTTTGAATATTCCTCCTGTAGAGGGGCGGGCCCGACTTGAGTCTACGGGAACTGCACAATGCACGAGCCAGGGAAAAAAGGAGGCAGAGCGGCCGAGTATGAAGGAGGAGCGGGCGGGGGGTCAGACTCAGACCGTGAGAAGGCCTCCGTCAGCATGCAGCGGCCCAAGCTCGAACGAGTCCCGGAAGGCGTGACGCCAGGCCGAGGGAGCCGCGGGCAACCGCACGCGAACCCTGCTCCCGCAAGGCAGGAGTTCTGGGGCGTAGAACTTGCAGGATGTCCGCAGCCAAGTGAACCCCAGCGGGGGGGGTCCGATACAATCGACACCTGCGAGAAGAGATCTTGAGGTGAGGATTCTTGGGGCACCTTCTTCGTCGATCTTGGAGAGGTCCCGGGGATGCCCCAGAGCTTCTGCGGGTCCCTGGGGCCCTCGGGGGATAAGACATCTTTCCGTGATGCACCTGCTGACAGGCCGATGCTTGTTCTTCGACCTGCCCGTGCTGTACCCCACCGTCGACCGGGCCCGCGGGGGCAGAGCGCGCAGGTGGCCGCAGCCAGGGAGTGCGGGGGGTCCGCGCCTGACATGGCCTGCCGGCGCCGCGGCAGAGCGCACCCGAGACCGCTGCCTAGCAAGGGGACGACTTCGGCGGCGACGGCGACGGCGACGGCGGCGACGGCGACGACGGCACGCGGCGACGGCGCGCGACGACGGCGCGCGACGACCGACGACGACGTCGTCGCCGTCGTCTCGGAGGCTCTCGGGCGGCGCGCGCGGCTGGAGAGGCTCTCGCTGCCACGAGCGGCGCGAGTGGCGCTTCCGGCACGGGAAAAACACGGGCCACCGCGGAGGGATCCCGGGGGGGCAAAGGACACCGATTCCGAGCGGATTTTGGTCGGAGGAGTACGACGACGACGACGACGACGACGACTACGACGACGACGACGACGACGACGACGACGACGACGATAACGACGGCCACGACAAGAACAACGGCGACGGCGACGGCGACGGCGGCGGCGGCGACGGCGGCGGCGGCGGCAGCGGCGAAGGTGCCGGCGATGGCGACGGTGACGGCGACGGCGACGGCAACGGCGACGGCGGCGACGGCGACAGTGACGAAAGCGACGGCGACGACGGCGGCGACGGCGACGGCAGCGGCGGCAGCGACGATGGCGACGGTGGCGGCGACAGCCACGACGACGACGACGACGACGACGACGACGACGACGACGACGACGACGACGACGACGACGACGGCGGCGGCGGCGGCGGCGGCGGCGGCGGCGGCGGCGACGGCGACGGCGACGGCGACGACGAACGGCGACGGCGACAGCGACGGCGACGGTTGCGGTGGCGGATAGCGGCGGCGACCGGCAGCGTCAGGCAGAACGCACGTGAGGCTGGGGCCTGGAGCGGAGGGGGACAGCCGCTGGTGGGATGGGGGCGGCTTCGAGTCGGCGACCCGACGTCTTGCAAGGTCTTCTCGAGGCTCCTCGTCGGGCTCCAAAGGGGGGCCCTCGTCGCCACGGCCAGATCCGCCCTGAAATCCTGGCCAGGATGGGCACGAGTAAAAGCTCCAGAGGGAGGAGGAGGAGGAGGAGGAGGAGGAGGAGGAGGAGGACGAGGAAGAGGAGGAAGGAGGAGGAGGAGGAAGGGGAGGAAGAGGAGGAGGAGGGAGGAGGAGGAGGAGGAGGAGGAGGAGGAGGAGGAAGGGGAGGAGGAGGAGGAGGAGGAGGAGGAGGAGGAGGAGGAGGAGGATGCCGAATGGTGCGGGGCCTCGGGGGCTCCGGAGCCGTGGTAAAAACCACGACGGGCATGATCGCCCGAGTGTCTGGGCCCAGATCCCTCACAGATAGTGCTGGCCCGAGGCGAGGGATGCCGCAGGAAGGCGGGGGACTCGCGGCCGCGAAGTGGTGCTATCTTCTGCCTCCGTTCTGCGGCGTGGTACCTCTGGGCTTCGGCTGCTGCCTGGGGTCGGCCCCCCATTCCTCGCCGCAGTGCCCTTCCCCCGCCGCCGCCGACGCATCCGCCGCCCGTCGTCGCCGCCACCGCCGTCGTCGCCGTGGCAGGCTGGCCTGCACAACGGGGCGAACAGAATCACCCCGAAGCGACGCCACGAGTTATCCTGCAGGGCTTCCTGCGCACCAACTGGCGCTTGGCGAAGGCAGGAGTTGTCACGCAGGGACCATGAAATCAACCCACGGGCGTGTCCGATTGTCGCTGTGTTCACCTTTTCTCCACTCTGTAATAAACCCGCGCCCGTCTTACAAAATGTACCGTCAAAAATGGCATGAACGCCCCGCACCTTGCACTGCCAAGCAAAGACTCACGGGTGCACGCGATTGGCTGCGAATGTACTATCTCCTTGGATCTCGACGAGATCACAGGCGCGTGATGTCGCAAAAGCCACTGGCATTTCTCGTCAGACGTACATGGCGCGCGGGATGGACCCCGCTGTATCAGTGGCCACCAGCGCGAACGTGTGCAAAACGAAAACGGCTAATCTTTGCCCAATATCGACAAGAAGTGGACCCTGCGGGTTAAAACGGGCATCTTGCGGGTTAACCCAGGCCCGAAACTGTCCAATCGTTGTCCGGCCATCATGCGACCCTGCCCAATAGGGAATCGTAGGTAGGACCTCATGGCAACACTGCGCGGATGGATGAGGCTTGCGCACACGGCTGCTGGGTGTATAAAGCAGCCATTCGACACATTCGGGGCACCTGCCAACTGGCGCAAGATACCCTGCGCACTCAGCATTTCTCAAAACGCAACCAATAACTGACAATGTATGGGGTTGCTACGTCTTCAACGCGCCTCAAACTGAGACTGTCTGATCGTTGGAGGTGATTCTGGGGTGGCTGTTGGATGAATCGGCACAGCCTGCGGGGTAGGCTGCGAAAAGAAAGCGACTGGGCCGCGATTGGGCCAAGACACGGAATGGACCTGCGAAGCCCGCTGCAGCAGACCAGACGCTGTCGCCGCCGCCGCCGCTGTCGCCGCCGCAACGGCCGTGGCTATCGCCGCCGCCGCCGCCGCCTCCACCGCCGCCGCCTCCTCCCCTAAGATCCGACGCTGTACGAAAAAAAACACAATCGCAAAGTTTCTTTTATCTATATATATATATATATATATCATACATACATACATACATACATACATACATACATACATACATACATATATACATACATACATACAGTCATACATACATACATACATACATACATACATACATCCATACATACATACATACATACATACATACATACATACATACATACATACATACATACATACATACATACATACATACATACATACACACATACATACAAATACAAATACACACCTATGCAAATGTATACTTAAAACAAAAACAAGCAAACAAACAAACAAACAAACAAACAAACAAACAAAAACAACAACAACAAAAAACGACTGGAGCCCCGGGCCCCACCATCCTGCATCATTTCTCGAGCCGGATCGATCCGTGAGGGCCCCGGGCCCCGAAATAGAGCGACAACGACCGGCGCGAACAAAATGCAGCGCCAGGATCTCAGGGTCCGCCGCGCCGTCGCCGACCGCCGCCACCTCCGCCACCGAACCGACGAGGAGGAGGAGAAAGAGGAGGAGGAAAAGGAGGCGGAGGAGGAGGAGGAGGAGGAGGAGGAGCCCGCCGCCGGCGCAAAAGGCGCGGGGGCCCGCGCCTGGCGAGCGGGCTCGGCGGGCCCCGGGCTCGGGTACAGTTTCCTCGAAAGGGGGGGGGGGGGGGGCGAGCGGCCGGCGGCCCGGGCGCGCGTGCTCGGGGCCTCCGCGTGGGTCTGCCCCCTTCACAACGTCTGAACCCCCAAAATCCTCACATCGGCCTCGGGTGAGGATTCACATTTTGAGGATTCAGACGTTGTGAAGAGGGGTCTCCGCGTGGGTCTCTGAGGCCTCTCAGATGTCGAGTATGGGGATCGACTACAAAACTGATGCACTCCGAGGTAAGGAAATGGTCGTCGGACCCGGAACAGATGCGCAGAACTTGTGCGCAGATGTGCCGGACATTCTGCGCGTTTCCTGTAGGTTCGACGAACCAAATAATTCTGCGGTAAATGACGTCTGCAGCCTATCCCCAATCGAAGATGGGGTCCAAGTAGGCGGGGTCGGAAGAACGCGCCGCATCGCCATTGCATCGCCGATGAATCGGCGATGCGGCGCGACCCTCCGACCCCATCTACTCCGACCCTATATGGGAGGCCTAGACCCGCCCCCTCGCCACGGAGGGCATCGATCTGGCGGGCGCGAGGGGCAACGTTCACAGATCACTTCGCGTCACAACAACATCAACATCAACATCAACATCAACATCAACAACAACAACAACAAGACTATTCGCACTTACCTGCTCGAGTGTCCGTCAACACGTATTTCCCAAATCCTCAATACCCGCCTTGTTCGTCTTCGATCGTACCCCTTTTGGGGGGGTATCTATTTCTTCCCTGCAGGCCGGGCCCTGGCAAGCGGCGGGGCGCCCTCGGACCGTCGGCCTGGCCAGCGGCAGCGCTGATCGGCGGCAGCCCGACCCCAAGGGGGACGGACAGAGGACCAACCACGACTTCGATGACGACGACGACCACCACCACCACCACGACGACGACCACGACGACGACGACGACGACGACGACGACGACGACGACGAGCGAAAGTGAGAGCGAGAGCGAAAGCGAGAGCGAAAGCGAGAGCGACAGCGGGGCCACGAAGGGCACGTAGGGAGCCACGAAGGGCGACAGCAGGGCCACGAAGGGCATGCGCATGGGGCCACGGAGGGCGCGAACGAGCGGGGGCCACGAAGGGCAGATAATGCGGGGACACAGAGGGCAACGACGGGGCCACTGAGGGTAGCAACACATGCTCACGATCGACGGCGTCGCCGATCGGGTCGGCGGGGTCCGTGGCCGCCAGTGGCCGAACGGACATCGACACGAGCTTCAGGCTTCAAGATGGACGTACCGCCTCGTGCCATCCTGTCCGCCACGAGCCACCGCGTTGCTGGGCTGAGGGATGGCGCTGCCCACTGCGCGCGGTGCTGCCGCACTGCCAGCTGCGTGAGATCCGCTGCCCGGCGCTGGAGCTCGCAATGCCAGCCGAGGCCAGGTGGGCAAGAGCGACGCGCGGGGGCCTCGAGGGTGACGCTGCCGCGGCCAACTATGTGGCCACCGATGCTCGGGGCCACGCCATCAGGGCGGCCTTTGGCTACAGCGTGTGCGTCCGATGCGGCGCTTCCGCGCGTGACGTGCGTGGCAGGTGGAGGTCCCTAGGAGCTGCCTGCCTGGGTCGATTAGGGGTCGCAGACGAGAACGGGCGCCTCGACAGTGCAGGGCGCGCGCGGCAGAGAAGGGTCAACAGGATCCTTGAGGGCCGCCACCCCAGTCCCGGATGCTATGACCTAGGATTGTACGCGCTGCAACGCAGAGCGAGGGGTAGATGCTGCTTGGCCGCCGAGCAGCGCACTTTGCCGACAAAACGCCGTTCCCAATTCAGACCAGGCGTCGGAATTGCGCTGTTCCTATTGTCAGTCTCCTTCCTGCTCCGGTGTTGCACAGGAAAGGTGGCGGGGTTGGCCGCAGGCAGCTGGATATTGGTGATGATACCGATGCCGACGCTTTTTTCCAGCCCCGCACTGAAGTGCGCACGGGAAAGCGGATCCTGGTGTATACGGATCCTGGTGTATTCATCTTTTGACGCTCCCGCCCGGAAATGGGAAAAAAAATATACACCACACCACCCCGACGTCGTCCCCGACCCTCAAAAAGTTCTAGGATTGAAAAACAGCCCTCCACTGGTAATGTATATGCTCCAGTTTCCGATGATGATGCTGTGATTGATGTGCTGGTGACAATGTCGATGATGTCGATGTTGATGATGGTGGTGATGCTGATGCTGATGATAATGATGAAGATCCCCATCCAGTGGGGCGAGCGTCGGCTGAGCTGCGCCCACATGGCCGCGCATCTCACATCTGCAACAGGGGCGGCTGCCACATGATGATGATGGTGGTGGTAATGATAATGATGATGGTGATGATGATGATGGTGATGACGATGATGATGATGATGATGATGATGATGGTGGTGGTGATGATTTTGAAAATGATGATGAAGACGATGATGTTGATGATGATGGTGATGGTGAAAATGATGGTGTTGATAATGATGATGATGATGATGACGATGATGATGATGGAGTGATGATTATGATGAGGATGACGATGATGATGGCGGTGATAATGATGATGGTACTGTCGATGATGGTGATGATGGTTTTGAGGATGGCCAGCAGCAGTTGGACAAATCATCTTCGTATGAAGCCAAGTCTCGCAGCACTACCGCTCCCCTCCAGCGCCTGCGGCCACCCTCCTCGTCGTCGGCGTCAGAGTTGCCACGCAGAGCCAGCAGCGCGGCCCAGGGACAGAGGCGTGACATCGGCAATGGCCGCCGTCAAAGCCTGGTCCAGCGCGAGCCGCCATTGAGCATACACCTCCGCGCTGCTCCAGCCGCGCGGGCCTCCTCGCGAAGCAGCCATGTTGGCCACGTGGCGATGATGGTGATGATGACGACGACGACGGCGACGCTATTGAGGAGCATGATGATGCTGGTGATGATGATGACAACGATGATGGTGATGATGCTGATGACAGTGAGGATGACGATGACGATGACGATGATGATGATGATGATGATGCTGCTGCTGGTGACGATGATGATGTCGATGGCGACGACGCGAATGATCTGATGATGATGACGCTGATGACGATGCTAATGATGATGAGGGTGGTGATGACTCGTTTATGAAGATACTGATGATGATGGTGGTGATGCTGATGCTGCTGATAATGATGGCGACGATGATGATGATAGTGACGATGAGGAAAAGGAGGAGGAGGAGGAGGAGGAGGGTGATGATGATAAGAAGAAGATGCTGGTGATGATGAGGAGACGGAGGAGGAGGATAATGATGATAATGATGATGATGTTGACGATGATGAAAATAATGATGTTGATGATGATGCTGCTGATGATGACGATCATGATGATGATGATGAGGATGATGGTGATGATGATGATGATGAGGAGGAGGAGGAGGAGGAGGATGATGATGATGACGAGGCCGGTGATGAGGCTGGTGATCATGGTGCTGCTAATGACGATGGTGTTGATGGTGTGGATGATGAGTTTGACGATGATCCCGCAGCGCTGACGGCAACGAGCACCCAACGACGGCGAACGGCGGCGGCGCTGCACCTGCGACAGGGGAAGGTGGGGAGGATGAGGAGGAGTGAAGTCCGGCCCGCCCAGGGCGGGACGCGGGCGGAAGCCGAGACCCGCGCGCCCTTCGCTGCAACAGCTCGCGGCTGCGAGAAAAATCCTCGGCGGCCCGCGATAACGATCGCACGCGCCTGTAACGGTCAGGAGCGTCGCTCGCACTGCCGCCCGCGCCGAACGCCTTCCCCTCGGCCGGCTGTGCGCACAAGAAGGACTCGGTAGCACAATCATTGTTTTGTCAACAGCCGCGAGCGGGAGCGCAACAGCAGCGTGCCAAAGTCCAGGCAGGCCGCGCGAGGTACTCTAGTTAGCCAAACAGGAGCAGGTCGAGCACCGGCACTCAGAACGGCACCAGGAAGTCGCCGCTGGTAGCACAATCACAGCGCCGCGAACAAAAAAAAAAAAAAAAAAAAAAAAAACACGACTGGAGCCCTCGCCCTCGCCTTCCTGCGGCCCTTCCCGGGCAGCGGGGCCCATCCGCGAGGGGCCCGCAGCCCGAGCCCTGGGGACACCAACGGGTGCCGATAACCGCTGCTCCCCAGACCTCTCCCGAGGTGCGCTCTGAGCAGACTTTCGCAGCGAATCCAGCCGAGGCGACGAGGGCCTCCCAGGAGGCCCAGACAGAGGAAACCGAGGGACGAGGGAAGAACAGCGGTATGGGTACGTGTCCTCCTCCTCCTCCTCCTCCTCCTCCTCCTCCTCCTCCTTCCTCCTCCTCCTCCTCCTCCTCCTCCTCCTCCTCCTCCTCCTCCTCCTCCTCCTCCTCACAACTCCTCCTCCTACTCCGACGGGCAGGTATCAGTTCTCCGGGGGCAGCCTGGCCCAGGCCTGCAGGGCCTGCACACCTTCCCAGGCGCCCAGTAGTGGCGCTGGCCAGGAACGGCGGTGGTGCACGCGGCCCTCGGCGGAGGCAGCGCCCGCCCCAGAGATCCGAAGCACACCCCGAATGATGGGCCTGTTTCCCACCGCCACCACCACAACAAGTTGGAGGGAAGGAGGTGGAGGACGAGGAGGAGTAGGAGTAGGAGTAGGAGTAGGAGTAGGAGTAGGAGTAGGAGTAGGAGTAGGAGTAGGAGTAGGAGTAGGAGTAGGAGTAGGAGTAGGAGTAGGAGTAGGAGTAGGAGTAGGAGTAGGAGTAGGAGTAGGAGTAGGAGTAGGAGTAGGAGTAGGAGTAGGAGTAGGAGTAGGAGTAGGAGTAGGAGTAGGAGTAGGAGTCAAGCTAGCCAGCTCGAGCGAGTCAAGCATGGCATGCCCAGTCCCACCCGCCCTCCCACAACATAAGAAGCAAAGCTGGCACAACTGGGGGCCGAAGTCACACCGGCCAGCCGGTTTGGTACAGCTGATGCGGCCGCGATGGCGGTTGCCGACGGGAACTGGCGAGCGCGTGTTGAATGCCGCGCACGCATTGCCAGACGAGTCGAGAATGGCCCGGTACACCGCAGGAAGCCAGAGGTGGCCGGAGGAAGCCCGACGGTCTGACAGGACACCCCAAAGCATTTTTGTGAAAAAGCATTGGGTTTTTGATGTTTTTATGTTGAAATGCTTGCAAACACACGGTGTTCGGTAGGATTCTGACATGAACGCGCGAGTGTGCTCTTTGTGGTATTTTTTGCACAAGATTCGCGGCCTGGGTGCATGACAGAGCATCGCGAGTGCACCGCGCGATGACGTGAAATCGCTGGATTTGACGAATTCTTAAGATTCCTATGGTTTTCCTATGATTTCAGCAAGAGAGCCCGGGCGGGAAATTTGTACAATTTTTGTGAAAAAAACATTGGGTTTTTGATGTTTTTATGTTGAAATGCTTGCAAACACACGGTGTTCGGTAGGATTCTGACATGAACGCGCGCGTGTGCTCTTTGTGGTATTTTTTGCAATGGATTATCGCCGTGGACGACAGGACGTCCATGTCGAGAGGAAAAAATAAGAAAAATGTTGATTTTGTATTGTTTTTTACAGGTTAGGATGGGACCACCCGGATGCGGCCCCTATCTGCCGGCCTGAGGGGGGAGTAGGAGTATATTCTAATAAGGAATAAGGATAGGAGTAGGAGTAGGAGTACAAGTAGTAGGAGGACGAGGAGGAGGAGGGAGGAGGAGGAGGAGGAGGATCCCCTCCCCCTCCAACTTATGGTGGTGGTGGTGTGGTGGTGGTGGTGGTGGTGGTGGTGGTGGTGGTGGTGGTGGTGGTGGTGGTGGTGGTGGTGGTGGTGGTGGTGGTGGTGGTGGTGGTGGTGGTGGTGGTGGTCGAAAACAGGCCCGTCACCGAAGTCCCGACACTTTCCCCAGGGCTGGCTTTTCATCCTCAGTCGTGTCTTGAAGGCCCTGGGGCCCTCGCGGGGGGCCCCCAGAGGACGGCGGGGAAAAGCTCCGCACTGCTGCTTTCCAGTGCGCTGGAAACCTGGGAACGCCCGCTGTGACTGCTGCTCGCGGCGCCGGCGGACTCAGGCTGGGGAGGAGGGGGAGAAGGAGGAGGAGGAGGAGGAGGAGGAGGAGGAGGAGAAGGAGGAAAAGGAGGAGGAGGAGAAGGAGGGAGAGGAGGAAGAGGAAGGAGGAGAAGGAGAAGGAGGAGGAGGAGGAGAAGGAGGAGGAGAAGGAGGAGGGTCCTGAGGGTCCTGATGACGCGGGGTGGGTCTTCGCCTATGCCGAGCAGCGGATGCTGAACCCGATGGCCCAGCGAAAACTAACAGACAGGCTGCCCGCTACGACTCCTGCCGCCAAGGCAGGAGCAATGGCAGGTAGCCCGAGCCGCCGCGCGAGCCACGGCTCGGCGGAAGAACCAATTTTTCGAGCAGCGCCCAGCGGCGACGAACCGCCCCGAGCGGAAAACAGCCCGACGGCCAAAAACGAGGCGAATCCAGCGAAGGCGACGAGACGCCCCCCAGAAGAACCCGCCACCGAGGGCCTTGCCACACGTCGAAGGTGGACACGAACCTAGCCGAAGGCGGAGGAGGTCGGAAGGGGGGGGGAACAACGACCTGGGATCGGCGATACCTCGCCGATAGCTCGGCGTGAGGCCCCCGGTAGCGGAATTTCGCATGCTCCGGAGCGGGGCAGGCTGCGGGGCCTCTATCGGCGATCGGTGCGCGATGGGGGGGTCGATGCATCCCCCTTTGAGCCTGCCGCCCCGCAACGTCTCGGGGGCGACGATGGAGGCGAATGGCCCCGGAGGCGCCGACGGTCCATGCCTTCGGCGAAGCTCCCGGGCGATTACGTGTAGTGCCCGCCCCCCGGCTGGTCGCCCCGTTCGTCGCCCCCGAACGTTGCCTCCTGGTTTTCTAAGTCGAGTCTCCTGCGGCCGTCCGGGACGGATCCGGGCACCCCTGGAAGGCCAACGGCGAGGCGCAGCCGCTGGAGAGCATCCCGAGGCTGGGAAAGCCGCGAAGAACCGACGCAGATGCCCGAAAACCTCTGGCCCCGAGAGCCGCCCCTGACCCCGAGGAGGAGGAGGAGGAGGAGGAGGAGGAGGAGAAGGGAGGAGGAGGAGGAGGAGGAGAAGGAGGAGGAGGAGGAGAAGGGAGGAGGAGGAGGAGGAGGGGAGGAGGAGAAGGAGGAGGAGGAGAAGAGGAGGGGGGAGGGAGGAGGGGAGAGGGAGGAGGAGGAGGAGGAGGAGGAGGAGAGGAGGAGGAGGATGAGGAGGAGGAGGGGAGGAGGAGGGAGGAGGGGAGGAGGAGGATGGAGGAGGATGAGGAGGAGGAGGAGGAGGAGGAGGACCCCGGGGGGGCGCACGCGGCTCCTCGCGCACCGCTCGTCCGTGGACGGGCTGGCGGGGTCGGGCGAGGCCCCGCCCGCGGCCGGGGCCAGGGCCTCGGCACGCGCGCGGGAGGCCACGCGGCATGGCTGCCCGCAGGGAGGCCGCCTCTCGTCTGGAGGAGAATGGGACGCACAGGGACGTACTGATGCTATATGTGCTCCTCGGAGGCGCACGTCCGACCCGAACATACAGTACAGTCGGGGGCTTGACCTAAAGAACCCCAAATAAGGAACGAGGCCCCTTTTCTCCAGAAGTTGAACCTCGATTTCCGATCGAAAACATAAGGAAAACCTGAGGCAAGCTGCGAAACACTTAAGGAACGCGGAGCCCCTCCCCAACGAAAAGGGTTCCTTCTTCAGGGCCCCGACTGTATGTGCTCCTCGGAGGCGCACGTCCGACCCGAACATACAGTACACTCGTCTTGTGGGATACATCGTTGCCCGAGCGGTGTGGCCAGGAAGCGCCCGCCACGACGCGCATACTGTAAGATTTCTCGGTGCGCGCATCGCCCCCCGGGGGGCGACGCACACATAGCAGAAGTATGTTGGGGTGACGCCGAGAAAAGGCGAATCACGAGGGACCATAGTGCTATGCACTCAAAGACTGCAAATATTAGTCGGCAGAAGCAGACAGAAACATGAAGTGGAAGGCGCTGGCAGCAGATTGGGTGTCCGCCAGCCCCCTGAAGAAGACGGGAAAGGTAAAGCCATTCGATCATTGAAGTAGGAAGGCGCTTAAAGTAGATTGGAATCTGGGACTCCAAAAATACATCCTTTCAACGACCGATGGGTATAGCTTGTGACCGGCGCTGCAATTACACTACCCCCAGCTTCTCCGAAAGGCAGCAGCAACCCCCACATGCGCCTGGAGCGCTCTTGGGGCGTCTTGGGAGCCTCGTGGGCCGTCTGGGGGCTCTCCTGGAGTGCTCTTGGGCCATCTTGGGGGCCTCCTGGGCCGTCCTGGGACCACCCTGGGCATTTCCGAGCGGCGTTGGGGCCGTCGCCAGGCGCCTCGGAGCTCGTCGTCGGGTCGCCTGGGGGCGTTCTGGTCTGCATTGGGCGCGTCTTGGGGTCTTCGGCCATTTCGACAGCCTGCTGGGTGTCCACGGCGGGCGAGGGGGGGAGCGAGAAGGAGGAAGCCTCCTCAGAAGGCGGCGGGACTTCTCAGAAGCACTCCGGGCCTCCTGAAAAGTGTTCTCTGTCTTCGTGAAAAATAGGGGGCCACATGCGAACCCTACCCCTGCCCCCCGCGATTTCTGAGGAGGAGGGTGGGGTTCACTTTGCTCGGGAGCTCCCGAACGAAGTGAACCCCACCCTCCCCCTCAGAAATCGTGGGGGGCAGGGGCAGGGTTCGCATGTGCCCCCCTAAAAGACTGCAAGAACTTCTCCAAAAGCCATGGGACTTCGGAGCCTTCACAGACGACCCGCCCCTTTCTCACTCCTCCCGGGGGCTCGCCGCCGAGGGTGCTGTTGGGCTTGCTTCGGGAACGGCCGAATGATATCGCAGATGTTTTCAACAGTGCTCGGGCTCCCCGCGGCCCTGCCTCCGCGGGACGTGGCCTCGGCTGCTTAGCACCCTGAGCCCCAATGTCACCAAGTGCTTGCGAGCATCAAAATATCGACGAGCTTTTTTCGCCGAGAGACAGTAGAACACTAAATCCACCGCCTACCCCTACCTACCAACCAGAAGCACTTCCCCGAGCTCGCCGCCGAGGAGGAGGAGAAGGAGGAGGAGGAGGAGGAGGCGGAGGTGGAGGCGGAGGCGGAGGCGGAGGAGGAGAAGGAGGCGGAGGAGGAGGAGGCGGAGGAGGAGGAAGAGGAGGAAGACAAGGAGGAGGAGGAGGAGGAGGAGAGGAAGAGGAGAGGGAGGAGGAGGAGGAAGAGGAGGAGGAGGAGGAGGAGGAGGAGGAGGACGAGGACGAGGAGGGGGTGTTTGTGGGCTGTATTCGGGACGGCGGGGAGGCCCCGACGCTGCACGCCTGGCGATGAGCCTCCCTCGGACAGGTGCCCTTCGCCCACCGCGCGCTGCCATTGACGACGGCCCCGCGTGGCCGACGGGCAGCGCGGCGCGGCCAAAGGCTGGCAGGCGAGCACGCGGCGAGCTGGCACTC